ATAGAATTTTGTATATAACATTAAGAAAATGGAAAATTCAAATTAAAAATTAAATTAATTTTTATTATTATACTGTACTGTTTCCCATGGAATACCCATGTGCAAATCTAATGATTGTTGTTCTCTTGTTTTTTCAACTCTAATCCAATTACCTCGATAGTTAAAAAAGTGAGTTCCGATGTTATGTATGAATTCATATTTAGTTTTAATTTGACCAGTTTCTTTTTGTTCAAAGCTCGTTTCAACAGACAAATTTTACGTTTTAGAAATTTTTATTATTATATAATTAATAAAATATTAAATTATAAAATATATATAAATGATAATATTATCATTCATAAATTGTATAGAATTATGTATATAAGTTTAAGAAAATGGATTAATTATTAACCTCAATCGAAAGATATATTATTTAAACCAATAAATTTCTTTACTTCGTTACAACAAAATTTATAATCAAATGTTATAAAAACGTTAACAATAAAAACATTGAAAATAATCGAAGTCGAGACATATACGTATAATTAGAATATTTTTGTCAAATAAATTTTATAAAAAAAAATTAAAAGATAAAATCTCCTAAAGTTAGGGTTTACTAAAAACAGCTTATGCAGTTAGTGTAATCTATCTATTATGCTAATCGTTTCTCTTTTCGTTTTCCAAAAAAAAAAAAAAAAAAAAAAAAGCCATTCTTTCTTTTATAAACAATGGAAAAAGTATTTAAAGGAAGATTACAATATTCCAGAACGAATATATTGGACAAAATAAAGAAAGCTTTGATTCGTTAATTTGCGTAACTGGAACAACGTGTACATATGTAACATATATATGTTTGTATGTAGGTACAGTTTACCATATTTCGAAGATATACAACGAAAAGCTCTGAAAGCATACGAATCGATTCATAAAAACAATACTCCATTAACGAGACAATTTATCGAGCAACTGATAATCAATGTGATAACGACATTCGGTAGAACCATGACATAATTAAAATGACGTATAACGTGGAACTTTACCAATCAATTCTGACAAGAATAGAAAAGAGAGAGAGAGAGAGAGAGAGAGAGA